AAATATACGAAAAGAGGGGGATAAAGATAATATTAGGATATTTAAAATTTAAATCAATTAAATATAACAAAGGTACGTAAATAATATTCAAAAAGTTTGTTGATAAATTTAGACATTTAAAGAATACTGAACAGTACAATATAAGTTTAAGAAAATAAAAATATTTTTAGAGATATTCATTTAGCTTAAATGATAGGCTAAATGTTTATGTGTTAAACTTAGCCATATTAGTCTACTTTGTTGGTATATTTTGTTATTAATTTTTACTGTATCACCCTGATGGTGCTCTAGGTTAAAAACTATATAGTCGAGACAGTTATTAATTTTGACAATAAACCCTGGTTATGGGAATATAACCGGTGGTTCTCAGTTGACTCGTTAAGCCGAGGGTGAGGCGTGAAAGAGTTGTGAGGAGGTCCGTAGTTTAGGGTCTATTATTAAGATTGTAACTAGTTAGGAATGATGTTCTTGTAATTTATTCCTGAAGTTTCGTTGGAAGTGATCATGTAAGCCCTTGGTATCAAATATGTGAACTCAAAAAAACTTATGAATTTGAGTTGAGAGATAAATAAAATTCATAAATCCATATTGAAAATACAAAAATATAAAGATATTATTAGGATTATTATGCGTAAGATAAGGATCTTATATATATAACATAAAATAAAAAGTATTAAAAATATTGGTAGATTTTTTGTAAAAATAATAAAAGGTTTATCTCTTTATAGTTTTGATGAATTAAAAATTATAATTTAGTAAAAGAAATATTACATTGTTTAATAAAAATTAATTAATATTATAGTAAAAAAAATATACGAAAAGAGGGGGATAAAGATAATATTAGGATATTTAAACNGTATATATATATATATATATACTAAAAGAAAAATAGTGACAAAATATTAGGACAATTGACAAGTTAATAAAAAGTCACATTAATAAAAATGAGTTGTACTAAGTACTTGCCAATTTAATAAAGAATAAAATAAGGATCAATCAATTTATTTGATTACCATATAATGTGCATCCTTTAATTTTATATAGATTTGTTATACTCATGCCCACTGCATTACAAAATAAAATAGCAACTGAATTTTATTAAAACAATATGATATATTATATATATAATTTCATTAAACTAATACTCTTTGAAAATATAGACGTATTTCTGACTAGTTTTAATTTATGGAAATAAAAACAAAGAAGGGTTGTTGGGAAGGAAAGGAACAATGAATAATTGAAGAGAAAGGTGAGTTTTTTATGATAATGAAAGAGTGGGTGGGAAACAGCGGAATCCCAAGAGACTTTATCAACACTTTAGCTGAGCTTCGTATCCTTTAACTCCGTCTACCATACGCGCTTCTATGACTCTGTTCAACTATGCCCTCTTTAGCTTTTCCTTTTTCTTCTATTTTCCTTTTCTCTTTTCCTAAAGAAAATTCAATTTTACAGCTAAACTGAAACTTTTGCCCTATCAGAAATTTATAATATGATTCAGAGAAAGATTTAGTGGGCGTTTGGACATAAGAATTGTAGAATTTTAAACAAAATAATTTTTTTTCAAGTAAAAATAATATTTAAAAATTAAAGTTGTGTTTCGACATGAATATAATTTTGGGTTGTTTTTAAATTTTTGTGAGTGATTTGAGTGAAATTTTTTGAAAAACTGCTTTTTGGAGTTTTTAAAATTTTCGAAAAATTTCAAAATTTATTTTCAAGTGAAAATTAAAAATTTTACGGCAAAACACTAATTTCGAAAAAGAGTGAATTTTTCGAAAAAAATGAATAAATTTTATGGCCAAACGAGCTCTTAATACTCTAATTTCTGTCCTACAAGTTTAACTAGTATTTGTACATTCAGCGTGAATGTAAACTTATATTTTGAAGAGTTAAAGACAAGGGAAGGGTCTTTCATTCTTGATAATTATACTAGTTTTATTAAAGTGAACCTCTTGTTTTATTACAAGATAAATTATTTTCTGATATTATACTACTTGACTTATTTGCGCATTATACTTAATGAAAAGCAATATTGAAAAAAGTAACATAATATTAGATTATCCAATTATATCATCAAAGCTTGAATAATTTTCTTATTGTATATATTTACTGGGTATAAGTTCATCAACAACTTTAGCAAATAAACTTTACTTTTGTAAAGAGAATTTGAAACAATTTTTTTGCAATAAAATTTAATTTTGTCAAATTAATATAATGCCTAATTTGTGTTATTATTCTTTATTTTCATGTATTCGTCAATACTTTAACTTCGTGATGCATAAATAACAATTCAAATATCGCTTGATAGATCGAATTTAAAGAATATAACAACAACAACAACAACCTAGTAAAATCTCACTAATGGGGTCTGGGGAGGGTAGTGTGTACGCAGACCTTACCCCTACCCCGAAGGAGTAGAGAGACTGTTTTCGAAAGACCCTCGGCTCAAAAAAACAAAAGNATATGGTGTGTGATATCCTCGTCGATCTCCCCTCCCCCCTGGATAATCGAACTAAGGTACTTGAAGCTGCCTCTTCTCGGGATGACCTGCGAATCAAACCTCACATCCACGCCCATTTCCCCTGGCTCAGCGCTAAACTTACACTCCAGGTATTCCGTCTTCGTCCTGCTCAGCTTGAAACCCCTAGACTCAAGAGCATGTCTCCAAACCTCCAGCCTCTCGTCAACACCGGCTCGCGACTCATCAATCAGAACTATGTCATCGGCGAATAGCATGCACCATGGCACATCCCCTTGAATATGGTGTGTTAACGCGTCCATCACCAGGGCGAATAAGAACAGACTGAGCGCAGAACCTTGGTGTAACCCCATTACAA